ATGAAGAGGAGTGATGTAGTGATGAAGAGGAGTGATGAAGAGTGATGTAGTGATGAAGAGGAGAGAAGAAGAGGAGAGAAGAGGAGTGATGAAGAGGATGAAGAGTCGTCTCACCAGGGCTTCGGTCAGGAGCTCGGTCCGGTGTTCGGTGGAGAACTTCAGCGTCTCCGACTTCTTCCCGCTGCCCTTCCGGAAGGTGAGATTAAACTCTGAACCCTGACCTTTACCAGCCGGAGCGAGGCCACAGATGTCCCCATACGGCCACTGCACACACACACACACACACACACACACACACAACAGAGGTTTTGTTTGCATTATGGTTGTTATTATTAAAACTAATAAAAACAAAACATTAATAATAATAATAATAATATTATCAATAATAAATTATTATAATTTTTTGTCTGATTTTGTAATAACTGTACTGTAATTATGATGTGACGCACACATGTAAGCAGCAGTACCTGGTTTGTAACCTCTAGGGTGGTGGGATTGTATGTGGTGATGCCATGAGTCCCGACGGAGAACACACGCTTGTACCTGAAAACACACACACACACACACACACACACACACACACACACACACGCTTTACTGCATCAAACTTCATAGTGAAACAAACCATTTTATAATGATGATAATAGTGTCATCTGTCTAATTCAGCAGCAGCGCAGTGTCTAATCAGAGCTCAGTGTGTGTGTGTGTGTGTGTGTGTGTGTGTGTGTGTGAAACCCTATTCAAAGCACATTTCTGTAAATCTGTTCATCAGTTCATCAGGCACAATCTTCACTTGGACTTGCAATGTGTGAATGTCTTGTATGGGAACTACAGTAATCCTGCACCGGCCCTGAACAAACACACTGTTCAAAATGCTTGAGGAGGAGCACGCGTGACAAAAACATGATAAAACACAAGAAAAAAACACTAAAAACCAAAACGATAACTTTCTTCCAAAACTGTATTGTGACCGATAATGAGTTGTGTTTATGCCAGAGCCTCATCAGCTACAGCAGTCGTGAACACAGCAGTGATAACAGGTGGCATGATGAAGATACCGTATAACACTGAGCTCGACTAGAGCGGCACGTTATCATTGCAGAAACAAAAACATTGATTTACATCGTCCAATATTTAGAGTAGACGTTTGAGTGTTAACTTGTCAGTTTACAGTATATAGATGATTTTCTGCAGTATAGACCCCTTTAGCGTCACAGTTTCGTCACGGCGCTAGCTGGAGGCAAAACAAAGTGAAAACTGGAGGCGGCCAATACAAACCAGCACAGATTCGGCTACATAATAAGGAGCTAAAATAATTGTTACTATTATTATTATACTATTAAATGTCATCTTGTTGTGTTGTTCGGTGCAAGAATTGATGAAAAATGAATATGCTGTATCTGGAACTTTTATTTCTAGAAAATATTCACATCATTAAAATCGCACTGTAATGTCACTCTTTACATTGTCGTGGTCTCGGCGCTGACTCGGCAGAACTGCGGATCATACACACAAGTCTTGTACAGGAACATATAGACATCTAAAGATTTATACGCCCTCAGTTTCTCTGTACGATCGGTTTCTCTATAAGGTAGGTGTAGAAGTCAGGCCACTCAACCGAGGTAACGTACGTTAATCCTGTCAGATCGTCCATCATTGAGTGAGCGTGTAGGCGGCTACGAGTCGGCCAATCTGGTTCTGTCCGTTAAAAATAACTTTTGGAAATAATAATCGCGGTCCTGGACACTGAGTGACCTTACACATTAAGATAATATCGGATTTTCTCCAGTCATTGTTAAAAAAACAAGCTAACAATCCTTGCTAACTAGCGTTAGTGAAGCGGCCAGAGGGATCGTTCTGCCTCCACCTAAGCTCCGCCCACAAAAAACGTCACCATGTTTACCAACTGAAAAAGGGTCTATATATGGATGATATTCTGGTGTATATAGATCAGAATATAGATGATATTATGCTGTATATAGACGACAGTATTGAGTATATAGATGATCAGAATATAGATGATATTATGCTGTATATAGACGACAATATTCAGTAAATGGATGATATTCTGCTGTTCTCAACACAAGGCCAGTTCCTTCGTTCTCTGTGAGCTCGCAGAAGAAAACAGGCTCGTCACAAGACCGGTTAATTATTCATTGTGTGGCTTTTAACATCTTCCCCTGAATGAGAACATCACACACACACACTCACTCCATCACATGACCAGACCCAACAAATGCTCCTGCCATCTGATTCAACCTCTCCAGCTTTCTTTATTTCCACCTGCTGTATCTTCACAGAAAGCTCAACTCCTGTATGATATCAAAATTAATATATATTTTTTGGTAATGCATGACTGAACTCCAATTGACCCTTCGCTAAGCCACGCCCAAAAACCGCCACTGGCCAATCATGTCTTAGCAACCGTAACTATGCGCGGGAGGTCTGTCAAGCTTTCGAACGAGGGAAACATGCTGAAGCATTGTGCGTATGGATTGTGCAAATCTGATACCGGTATACTAAAAGTTTGGACGGGGGAGAGGAATTGTTTTCCTTCCAGAAAATCTAAAAGCCGCGGGGAGAAATGATTGGCGTGATCTAGCGTCTATGTGCGAGACCCATTCACAACTACTGGTAAATGTCGACATGCTTAACAAAAACACCTATTGCTTGGAAATATTGACGGTTCTTTGGTCATAATGATAACGTAAAATAAGACGATTAAAGAGACAAGACAAAGGCTCACTGACATACTTTAAATATATTTCAGCATTTCGTTAATCGACGTCCTACTAACGTACACCTTACTAAGTAATTAACTTAACCCAATCCGATCGCGGCTCTCCCAGTATTAGTGTTATTCCACAAGATTTATTGATAAGCTGTTTGATTTATTATTATTAAGATTATTTTCACATACCCTCCTCAATTTGTGTTTCCCATTATATATCCCATTATATATCCCACTATAACGTTAGGCTTTAACTTCAATTTTTTTAATTATTATTTAATTATAGAGAAATTATTCTCTAATCGGTTGCATATAATGTCGTGAATATATCCCTTGAATGCATACTGTAGTCCCTTTTGTCTTGCTCTCTCAGATATTTCACTTGTTCGCCAAAAATTACTAATTATCTCATTGAAATGTCTGATAACGGGTGCATCCACACTATAATAGATGGGCCAGCCGCGAAAGCTTGACAGGCGTAGCAACAGTAACCAGGGAGGGCGGGGCTTAGCGAAGGGTCACTTGCTGAATTAAACATGGAGGTAGGAAATGTTTTTGCACGATAAACATCGTTTCACACACTGTTAATTATAGTATCCTGCACTACGACAGTTTTCCATACTAGAGGTTTACATGAAGCTAAAGCACATGAAGACACTCAAATCAGGAACTGAAAGAAAGTGTTTCACACTCTTGGCCACAGTGTGTAACCAGTACTGTCTGAGACAGAGAAAAGCCTAAAGTGTGTAACCGAGCAGCGCTGAGATTTCTGTGTACATAGACAAATTCGTAGATTTTAGAGTTCAGCTCATGAAAAATGCCCCCATTGAAAACAAGTGTATGTTGTTACAAAACCAAAACATAACGTATAATTCTTCCAGTTATTTTTTATGTACTAATAAAAAGTAAATACAGAATTCATATGAGCACAATACAATGTACACACAGTATCCCTGGGTGAAGTTAAGATGTTCTGCATCAATAACACTCATGGCATATTGCATAAGAGGAGTGGAACTGAGCCTGGAGAGATAATGGACCCTTCACAGGTAAAGTACAGTAACAGTACAGTGAAAGTACAGTAACCCAGAGCCGTGTCCGACTGTACAGGATGATCTGCTCCATCATCAGAGCTCCCTTTACTTTCGATTCAAGCCTCTATGTTTGTTTCAGGTACAGGACACATATTTTACTTTTCTTTTATAAGGGAAACTGATATCAACCATCTGCCCCAAACCAACCAGCTCTTTCCCATAATCTGACATACTAAAATGATGACAACATGGTTGCTACAATCTCAGGGCAGGATGAGTCCCAGGGTTTCTGTCCATACTAAGAAAGTCAGTGAGATCCAAAAGATCTCAATTTTTTTTTTGCATTTTTGCAGAAGAAAGTCCTACAGGTTTGAAAAAACATGAATGAGAGTAAATGATGACAGAATGATAATTTTTGGATACACTAGCACTTAACATTATCTACTACTATCTTCCTGACAACTAGAGCTGCACGATCCATGCGATCTGATTCCTATATGACAGTGATTCGGCTCAGTTTATGAAACCCTTAGACAGGGGTGACCACAGTGAACTCTCAGATTCAGAGAGAGCCGTTGTCATTACAGTATGACACACTGGGTCACATTTACTATTATCACTAAGCATACGTGTTGCGTATGAGCAAATCACGATTCATCAAAAATCCTCGTATTAAAATGTATCCTAAATTGACATAAAAATGTATATTAGAACAGGCTTGTAGTGGATTAAAGCAGGATGACAAATAACCGTGATTAAACTAAACTACATCTCTACTCCGCATATACGCTCTCTGTGGGCACTACTGTCCGACTGCGGGTCGAGCTGAACGCCGCTAGTGCCGTTTCAGTGCCTGTCTGTGTGTGTGACCGAAACGCACTTACTTGCCCCTCCAGGAGTGTTTGGTTGTGTAGAAACAGGCCAAGTCTCGGTTGTCTTTGAGGACGTTCATCTTCAGACAGCGCCTGTGAAAAGAGAAGAGCAGATTCACGTCTGCAACTCATTTACTTCCTGATTAAAGATGACAAAGGCCAGGTTTATGATCGCGTATACAAGCTGTCATGGGGGAATCTGGAAAGACACCTAGCACGGTGGACTAGACATCACTAGATGCTCACAGATCATTTAAAAAGTTACAGATTCACTCAAACATCATCAGGGTCCAAACACTCAAGACTTTTATTCATCTTCAAAACTCAAATGAGGATTTTTTTGTTCATCCAATGAATGACAGTCGAGTGAACACAGAGTCCGCTGAGGTCCGGACTCGGCCCGGATACACACACTCCTCTCAGACTCGCGGAAATAAGGTCATACACTGAGACTGTGCTGAAACTCCTGGAGTAACTCCACACAGTTGGTGTGTGTGTGTGTGTGCTGTGTGTTTACTGCAGAAAAACAGCACGTGCACACACACATTCATTTAGAAATATAATACAGACTCTTCCACCATGGTTTTCTTAATTATGCATTTAAGTTTAAGTTTGATATTTAGAGTTGATTCAGTGGAGATCTGAGAACACTGAAGCAGAGACGCACGATATATCGGGATTGGTCGTTATCGTTATCAGCCCAATAAAAAAAAATTGGCCAATATATTAAAGCAATAAATGATGTATTATTTCCTTCAAATGAGAGAATGCGCACTGTTCATCATAGACTGAAATATGATTGATCACTTCAAAAAGGAAAATACAGTGAAGTGCAACAGTTTAGTCTGTCATATCGGCTACATAACATTATAATGAGATCATAACAGTGTGTTTGGGAGATGGATTTTAATGGTGAGACTTAAAAAATTATATAAAAAGTTGGATTTAGATTTATCGGCCAATATATCGGTTATTTGCTTTATCGGTATCGGCCGAAATGTTCCTCTCGGTGCGTCCCTGATTCCTACACAGAAGCGCTGAGTAAAGAAAGCTTTCATCACTGTGTTGCAGGAGCCCGTGATGATCCGGTAAACATCCCCCAGCACACTCCACACTGACACACACTCCACACTGACACACACTCCACACTGACACACACTCCACACTGACACACACTCCACACTGACACACACTCCACACTGACACACACTCCACACTGACACACACTCCACACTGACACACACTCCACACCGACACACACTCCACACCGACACACACTCCACACCGACACACACTCCACACTGACACACACTCCACACTGACACACACTCCACACTGACACACACTCCACACTGACACACACTCCACACCGACACACACTCCACACCGACACACACTCCACACCGACACACACTCCACACCGACACACACTCCACACCGACACACACTCCACACTGACACACACTCCACACTGACACACACTCCACACCGACACACACTCCACACCGACACACACTCCACACCGACACACACTCCACACCGACACACACTCCACACTGACACACACTCCACACTGACACACACTCCACACCGACACACACTCCACACCGACACACACTCCACACTGACACACACTCCACACCGACACACACTCCACACCGACACACACTCCACACCGACACACACTCCACACTGACACACACTCCACACTGACACACACTCCACACTGACACACACTCCACACTGACACACACTCCACACCGACACACACTCCACACCGACACACACTCCACACCGACACACACTCCACACTGACACACACTCCACACTGACACACACTCCACACTGACACACACTCCACACTGACACACACTCCACACCGACACACACTCCACACCGACACACACTCCACACCGACACACACTCCACACTGACACACACTCCACACTGACACACACTCCACACTGACACACACTCCACACTGACACACACTCCACACTGACACACACTCCACACTGACACACACTCCACACCGACACACACTCCACACCGACACACACTCCACACCGACACACACTCCACACTGACACACACTCCACACTGACACACACTCCACACTCAAACTAGTGTCCTGAGCCTGAAGCCATGGAAAAACACTGAGGCTTTATGGGTAATTCTGACAAGTGAAAACACAGATATAAAATGAACATTTTTGATCATGGGAATCACTTTGTGCCATCCATAAAAGTAGGTTATGATGAGTTTCGAGAAAAAGGCACGTAAACATGCGATGGGAGGAAAGGGAAGCGAGGGTCATGTTCACTGAGAGCCACAGCTCACACAGACGAGGACACGGGAAGAGGTGCTGATCTGTGAACCGTGTTGAACATGAATGTCTCTGTCAGCAACACCGGCTCCTTCCTTCCTCTCCTAAGCCCAACACTGAACCCGTACAGCAGCTCAGGGCTCCTGACTCGCCGTATCGGCTAAAGCTAATCGTTCATCAGTCCACCGCCGCTCCTAACACTGAACCCGTACAGCAGCTCAGGACTCCTGACTCGCCGTATCGGCTAAAGCTAATCGTTCATCGGTCCACCGCCGCTCCTAACACTGAACCCGTACAGCAGCTCAGGACTCCTGACTCGCCGTATCGGCTAAAGCTAATCGTTCATCAGTCCACCGCCGCTCCTAACACTGAACCCGTACAGCAGCTCAGGACTCCTGACTCGCCGTATCGGCTAAAGCTAATCGTTCATCGGTCCACCGCCGCTCCTAACACTGAACCCGTATAGCAGCTCAGGACTCCTGACTCGCCGTATCGGCTAAAGCTAATCGTTCATCAGTCCACCGCCGCTCCTAACACTGAACCCGTACAGCAGCTCAGGGCTCCTGACTCGCCGTATCGGCTAAAGCTAATCGTTCATCAGTCCACCGCCGCTCCTAACACTGAACCCGTAAAGCAGCTCAGGACTCCTGACTCGCCGTATCGGCTAAAGCTAATCGTTCATCAGTCCACCGCCGCTCCTAACACTGAACCCGTACAGCAGCTCAGGACTCCTGACTCGCCGTATCGGCTAAAGCTAATCGTTCATCGGTCCACCGCCGCTCCTAACACTGAACCCGTACAGCAGCTCAGGACTCCTGACTCGCCGTATCGGCTAAAGCTAATCGTTCATCAGTCCACCGCCGCTCCTAACACTGAACCCGTACAGCAGCTCAGGACTCCTGACTCGCCGTATCGGCTAAAGCTAATCGTTCATCGGTCCACCGCCGCTCCTAACACTGAACCCGTACAGCAGCTCAGGGCTCCTGACTCGCCGTATCGGCTAAAGCTAATCGTTCATCAGTCCACCGCCGCTCCTAACACTGAACCCGTACAGCAGCTCAGGACTCCTGACTCGCCGTATCGGCTAAAGCTAATCGTTCATCGGTCCACCGCCGCTCCTAACACTGAACCCGTATAGCAGCTCAGGACTCCTGACTCGCCGTATCGGCTAAAGCTAATCGTTCATCGGTCCACCGCCGCTCCTAACACTGAACCCGTACAGCAGCTCAGGACTCCTGACTCGCCGTATCGGCTAAAGCTAATCGTTCATCGGTCCACCGCCGCTCCTAACACTGAACCCGTACAGCAGCTCAGGACTCCTGACTCGCCGTATCGGTTAAAGCTAATCGTTCATCAGTCCACCGCCGCTCCTAACACTGAACCCGTACAGCAGCTCAGGACTCCTGACTCGCCGTATCGGCTAAAGCTAATCGTTCATCAGTCCACCGCCGCTCCTAACACTGAACCCGTACAGCAGCTCAGGACTCCTGACTCGCCGTATCGGCTAAAGCTAATCGTTCATCGGTCCACCGCCGCTCCTAACACTGAACCCGTACAGCAGCTCAGGACTCCTGACTCGCCGTATCGGCTTAAAGCTAATCGTTCATCGGTCCACCGCCGCTCCTAACACTGAACCCGTACAGCAGCTCAGGACTCCTGACTCGCCGTATCGGCTAAAGCTAATCGTTCATCAGTCCACCGCCGCTCCTAACACTGAACCCGTACAGCAGCTCAGGACTCCTGACTCGCCGTATCGGCTAAAGCTAATCGTTCATCAGTCCACCGCCGCTCCTAACACTGAACCCGTACAGCAGCTCAGGACTCCTGACTCGCCGTATCGGCTAAAGCTAATCGTTCATCAGTCCACCGCCGCTCCTAACACTGAACCCGTACAGCAGCTCAGGACTCCTGACTCGCCGTATCGGCTAAAGCTAATCGTTCATCAGTCCACCGCCACTCCTAACACTAGGGGAGTAACTGCGGCTTTACCCTGGAACTACTAACCTAAAGTCAGATCTAAGCTCGGGTTAATCTTATCCTAGGATATCTTGTTCCATTGTCTCCAGTTATTCTCGACTCATTATTGGATAGTCAGATTTTGAGAATTTACAATTACACACTGGTAAACTTAAGCTAAGGTTCTAATTTGCATATTTGGTACATACTCAATTAGAAAAGTATCGCCATTTAAATGTAAAAAAAAATATGTGAACGTACTCTGATCTAGAGATATCAATGCTAGAGTAACATCTTTCCAAAATGACTTGAGTATAAACATCTAAATTTACATTTATTTGATTTTGAGAAATGGCTTATAATTTTTTTTTTTTTTAAATGTGTTAAAAATGCAATAAAATAAATATTTTAAAAAAATGCTTTTCATGGCCAGTCTCCTCGATTCATTGAGCAAGTAAACTGTGATGAAATAAAGGAAGCGCTGGAGAAATATGTGGTAATCTCAGTCTACACAACAGGACAACTACACTAAAGCACGCCAACTAAAATGAAAGTAATTAAACCCACGATCTGGATTAAAACGCTGCCAGCCATCAGTGGCAGAAAATGCACGTATCAGTGACCTGTAATCCGGCTGGTGTTCTCAGAGCCGATGGGATTACAGGACTCGATGCGACACATTAATAGTTTAAGTATGTTAAAAACCCAGGATGAGGTCACATGATCGATCTCAGCAGCTCAGCACGGATCAATACAAGCGGTTTAACACGGCACAGAAACACACTCTCTTTAAGAGCCGTCCTGAAGCATCACAGAAAACACATTCCCTGCCTCTTCTGTGCAGGTTGGCCCAACGCTGGAGGACTTCTGCCAAACTGCTGAAACGGAGGGTTTTATGAAAGCAAAGCTCAACCGTAAAGCAATAAAGGTTGTGATGAATCTGCAGGCTTCAATAAAACGATCACAGTCAAGAAGTGTTGCATGACATTTACACTAGCATTGCATAACTGCTCACGACGAGCTCGAGGGCGTATAGCCTGTCAGTTATTACACACTCACGAGTTTATATCCTTCTAAGTTTATAAATATGCAGTAATAATAATAATTTGTTAAATCTATATAGCACTTTTACTGGGTCCTCAAAGCGCTTCACATATGGAAAGGGGGATCTCCTCAACCACCACCAGTGTGCAGCTCCACCTGGATGATGCGACGGCGGCCATATTGGGCCAGAACGCTCACCACACATCAGCTTACTGGTGGAGAGGAGACAGTGATGAAGCCAATCAGTATATGGGGATGATCTGGAGGACGTGACGGACGGAGGCCAAGGGGCAAATTTGGCCAGGATGCCGGGGTTACACCGCCACTCTTTTTCCAAGGATGTCCTGAGAGTTTTGAAGGATCTGAAGGACGGTGCTCTATGACAGTATAGGGGATTATCACGGGCGGGATTTGTCAACTTTGTGCACGTCCACTTCCAACGCAGTTCAACAATGCCTGAGACGAAGTCTATTTATGTCGCTACTCTGTTCCACTTTGTAAATCTAACCAACAAAGCTAACCCTACTTAAGTTTTCATGGAAGTGGATTAAAACTTTAAAATAAAACAAGGTAGCACGTTTTTTTGCAGCCGGCACTTTAGTGAATCAGACTAATTTACCAGGGATGCCGTATAAATAAACGTAGTGTAGTCCATCAGTTCGCCAGCGAGATCGGTGATTCAACGGAAGTAGCAGTGCACAGATCACAGAATCCGGAAGTCCTGCGTATCAGCGTGATAATCCCCTATAGTGTCCCCATTACTACACTGGGGCGTTTGGACCCACACAGACCAATAAAACCTCTTCCAGCAGCAACCTGGTTCTCTCAGGACGTCTCCCATCCAGGTGCTGCCCAGACTCAACCCAGCTTAGCTTCAGTGGGCACCAGTCTTGGGCTACAGGGTGATATAGTTAAGAGCGGGTTAAGAGTAGACAGTGTTTAACGGTTTAAGAGTAGACCGTGTTTAACGGGTTAAGAGTAGACAGTGTTTAACGGGTTAAGAGTAGACAGTGTTTAACGGTTTAAGAGTAGACAGTGTTTAACGGGTTAAGAGTAGACAGTGTTTAACGGGTTAAGAGTAGACAGTGTTTAACGGGTTAAGAGTAGACAGTGTTTAACGGGTTAAGAGTAGACCGTGTTTAACGGGTTAAGAGTAGACAGTGTTTAACGGTTTAAGAGTAGACCGTGTTTAACGGGTTAAGAGTAGACAGTGTTTAACGGGTTAAGAGTAGACAGTGTTTAACGGGTTAAGAGTAGACAGTGTTTAACGGTTTAAGAGTAGACAGTGTTTAACGGGTTAAGAGTAGACCGTGTTTAACGGGTTAAGAGTAGACAGTGTTTAACGGGTTAAGAGTAGACAGTGTTTAACGGGTTAAGAGTAGACAGTGTTTAACGGTTTAAGAGTAGACAGTGTTTAACGGGTTAAGAGTAGACCGTGTTTAACGGGTTAAGAGTAGACAGTGTTTAACGGGTTAAGAGTAGACAGTGTTTAACGGGTTAAGAGTAGACCGTGTTTAACGGGTTAAGAGTAGACAGTGTTTAACGGGTTAAGAGTAGACAGTGTTTAACGGGTTAAGAGTAGACAGTGTTTAACGGTTTAAGAGTAGACCGTGTTTAACGGGTTAAGAGTAGACAGTGTTTAACGGGTTAAGAGTAGACAGTGTTTAACGGGTTAAGAGTAGACAGTGTTTAACGGTTTAAGAGTAGACCGTGTTTAACGGTTTAAGAGTAGACCGTGTTTAACGGGTTAAGAGTAGACAGTGTTTAACGGGTTAAGAGTAGACCGTGTTTAACGGGTTAAGAGTAGACAGTGTTTAACGGGTTAAGAGTAGACAGTGTTTAACGGTTTAAGAGTAGACCGTGTTTAACGGGTTAAGAGTAGACAGTGTTTAACGGGTTAAGAGTAGACAGTGTTTAACGGGTTAAGAGTAGACAGTGTTTAACGGGTTAAGAGTAGACAGTGTTTAACGGTTTAAGAGTAGACAGTGTTTAACGGGTTAAGAGTAGACAGTGTTTAACGGTTTAAGAGTAGACAGTGTGTAACGGGTTAAGAGTAGACAGTGTTTAACGGGTTAAGAGTAGACAGTGTTTAACGGTTTAAGAGTAGACCGTGTTTAACGGGTTAAGAGTAGACCGTGTTTAACGGGTTAAGAGTAGACAGTGTTTAACGGGTTAAGAGTAGACAGTGTTTAAACGGGTTAAGAGTAGACAGTGTTTAACGGGTTAAGAGTAGACAGTGTTTAACGGTTTAAGAGTAGACAGTGTTTAACGGGTTAAGAGTAGACCGTGTTTAACGGGTTAAGAGTAGACAGTGTTTAACGGGTTAAGAGTAGACAGTGTTTAACGGTTTAAGAGTAGACCGTGTTTAACGGGTTAAGAGTAGACAGTGTTTAACGGGTTAAGAGTAGACAGTGTTTAACGGTTTAAGAGTAGACAGTGTTTAACGGGTTAAGAGTAGACCGTGTTTAACGGGTTAAGAGTAGACAGTGTTTAACGGTTTAAGAGTAGACCGTGTTTAACGGGTTAAGAGTAGACAGTGTTTAACGGTTTAAGAGTAGACCGTGTTTAACGGGTTAAGAGTAGACAGTGTTTAACGGGTTAAGAGTAGACAGTGTTTAACGGGTTAAGAGTAGACAGTGTTTAACGGGTTAAGAGTAGACAGTGTTTAACGGTTTAAGAGTAGACAGTGTTTAACGGGTTAAGAGTAGACCGTGTTTAACGGGTTAAGAGTAGACAGTGTTTAACGGGTTAAGAGTAGACAGTGTTTAACGGTTTAAGAGTAGACCGTGTTTAACGGGTTAAGAGTAGACAGTGTTTAACGGGTTAAGAGTAGACAGTGTTTAACGGGTTAAGAGTAGACAGTGTTTAACGGGTTAAGAGTAGACAGTGTTTAACGGGTTAAGACTAGACAGTGTGTAACGGATTAAGAGTAGACAGTGTTTAACGGGTTAAGAGTAGACAGTGTTTAACGGGTTAAGAGTAGACAGTGTTTAACGGGTTAAGAGTAGACAGTGTGTAGCGGGTTAAAAGTAGACAGTGTTTAACGGGTTAAGAGTAGACAGTGTTTAACGGGTTAAGAGTAGACAGTGTTTAACGGGTTAAGAGTAGACAGTGTTTAACGGGTTAAGAGTAGACAGTGTTTAACGGGTTAAGAGTAGACAGTGTGTAACGGGTTAAGAGTAGACAGTGTGTAACGGGTTAAGAGTAGACAGTGTTTAACGGGTTAAGAGTAGACAGTGTGTAACGGGTTAAGAGTAGACAGTGTTTAACGGGTTAAGAGTAGACAGTGTTTAACGGTTTAAGAGTAGACCGTGTTTAACGGGTTAAGAGTAGACAGTGTTTAACGGGTTAAGAGTAGACAGTGTTTAACGGGTTAAGAGTAGACAGTGTGTAACGGGTTAAGAGTAGACAGTGTGTAACGGGTTAAGAGTAGACAGTGTTTAACGGGTTAAGAGTAGACAGTGTTTAACGGGTTAAGAGTAGACAGTGTGTAACGGGTTAAGAGTAGACAGTGTGTAACGGGTTAAGAGTAGACAGTGTTTAACGGGTTAAAAGTAGACAGTGTTTAACGGGTTAAGAGTAGACAGTGTTTAACGGGTTAAGAGTAGACAGTGTGTAACGGGTTAAGAGTAGACAGTGTTTAACGGGTTAAGAGTAGACAGTGTTTAACGGGTTAAGAGTAGACAGTGTTTAACGGGTTAAGAGTAGACAGTGTGTAACGGGTTAAGAGTAGACAGTGTGTAACGGGTTAAGAGTAGACAGTGTTTAACGGGTTAAGAGTAGACAGTGTGTAACGGGTTAAGAGTAGACAGTGTGTAACGGGTTAAGAGTAGACAGTGTTTAACGGGTTAAGAGTAGACAGTGTTTAACGGGTTAAGAGTAGACAGTGTGTAACGGGTTAAGAGTAGACAGTGTGTAACGGGTTAAGAGTAGACAGTGTTTAACGGGTTAAGAGTAGACAGTGTTTAACGGGTTAAGAGTAGACAGTGTTTAACGGGTTAAGAGTAGACAGTGTTTAACGGGTTAAGAGTAGACAGTGTTTAACGGGTTAAGAGTAGACAGTGTTTAACGGGTTAAGAGTAGACAGTGTGTAACGGGTTAAGAGTAGACAGTGTGTAACGGGTTAAGAGTAGACAGTGTTTAACGGGTTAAGAGTAGACAGTGTTTAACGGGTTAAGAGTAGACAGTGTGTAACGGGTTAAGAGTAGACAGTGTGTAACGGGTTAAGAGTAGACAGTGTTTAACGGGTTAAGAGTAGACAGTGTGTAACGGGTTAAGAGTAGACACATGATGCTTCTATTATAAAAATAAAACATTACTCTAACTATGATCAACCTTACAAACCATTGCTACTGTCAAAATAATACCATAGTTTACCATTCATCGTACAATGATCAACACAGAAATGACAGACAGATGGTAAAAGCGCTTTATATTCTCGAGGGTTTGATGGTTTACTGTGGTATTTACAGTAAACGCTCTCAGCCTGTCAGGCGTCAGTGGCCCGATGGCGCGGTGAATGCAGTGCCGGAGAATGAGGAGTATGAGTATGTTTTACCTGGATCTGGTGTCAGAAGCGGCTCGGTTCCGTCCCTCTGCCCTCCGCCCTCCTCTATTCGAGTCTGATTTAAATCAATGATCCAGAATTGAAGCCCAAACTGGCCGAACGCGCTTCCCTCAGTGAGAAACCCAGGACGCCGCCATCTTCCTTCTGCCACCAGCAGGGCAGTGCGCATGCGCACGACCGCACTCTCACGCGTGTGTCAGCTGACGGGCTTGACAGGAAGTAGAGATTCTAGATCTGCAGTCTCTCTACACACTGATCTGAGTGTAATGAACATGCTACTGTGAAGGTGAAAGTGTTTAAAATATATACAACATATTATATAACATTTTAAAATATTTAGTTTTTAAGCAAGATGTATTTTATTTATTTATTTTTATAATTTTTTAATTATTATTTATTTATTTATTGAAACTATCATTTCTTTTAATTACTTATAGTCACTATTAGTTAATTATTTAGTTATTTGCTTTTATAAAATAAAATGTATTGTACTTGTAATTGTTATAAATTAATTGTAAATCCAATTGTAGTTCTTTTTAATCATTTTTATTTACTAATTTTAAATCATTTTTCTTTTAAAATATTTTGTATTTATTTAGTTATTAATTGTTTATAAAAAATATTAAAATTAATTAATTTTGTAATTGTAATCAAATTAAGTTAGTTTAGCCCGGGCCGTCTGAGAGAAACCGAGTAACAGCGACTCTAAACCTTACTTTGTTCATTTACATTTTTCATTTGCAAGCTTTTTATTAAATGTCCTGATAATCTACTGATCTTCTTCTCCTCTCATAACGGGTTCAACATAAATTCGAATTCATTTCCATTACCATTTCAATAATAAAATACATGATAAAAAATAGTGATTTAATTGCAGTTAATGAAATAAACTATTGAATAAACAATTGAATCCATTCTGGCTTGTGTTGTCTGGTGATGAGGATAGGTGAGCCGCTTCTGACGGTCGAGTATTTTTGTCTGTATTTGTTGCTGTTTGTGTTCGACACAGTTTCAGTGACACCAAAATAATGTCAAAAAGCAAAAGCTGTCTGATACAGAATGACAGAAAGATCTGCAGTGCTGATGTGCTGAATTCAAAGAAGTGCATGAGAAAATGCTGAAGGGTTTAATGGGATTGTCCTCTTGTAAAACAGTCCAGAGAGAATCAGCGGTTCAGGGGCCACGATTGGGAACAAACTCAGGGTTACGGGGTCAGTCACACGCTGAGAACTAGGAGTTCAGCTGTGACATCAGGCGCCAACAGCCAATCACACGCTGAGAACTAGGAGTTCAGCTGTGACATCAGGCGCCAACAGCCAATCACACGCTGAGAACTAGGAGTTCAGCTGTGACATCAGGCGCCAACAGCCAATCACACGCTGAGAACTAGGAGTTCAGCTGTGACATCAGGCACCAACAGCCAATCACACGCTGAGAACGAGGAGTTCAGCTGTGACATCAGGCACCAACAGCCAATCACACGCTGAGAACGAGGAGTTCAGCTGTGACATCAGGAGCCAACAGCCAATCACACGCTGAGAACGAGGAGTTCAGCTGTGACATCAGGCGCCAACAGCCAATCACACGCTGAGAACTAGGAGTTCAGCTGTGACATCAGGCACCAACAGCCAATCACACGCTGAGAACGAGGAGTTCAGCTGTGACATCAGGAGCCAACAGCCAATCACACGCTGAGAACGAGGAGTTCAGCTGTGACATCAGGCGCCAACAGCCAATCACACGCTGAGAACGAGGAGTTCAGCTGTGACATCAGGCACCAACAGCCAATCACACGCTGAGAACGAGGAGTTCAGCTGTGACATCAGGCACCAACAGCCAATCACACGCTGAGAACGAGGAGTTCAGCTGTGACATCAGGCACCAACAGCCAATCACACGCTGAGACCGAGGAAATTCACATCTCTCTCTCGCTGCAGAATATTACCAGATTGGAAAATATTAGGAATTTAAACAATAGTTTATACATTTGATAAAGGTAAATTTAACATTTAAAATTGTACATGTGTGATAGATTAAGGATATAATAATTACAGACGTAAATAATATCTAAATCAAACAAAAATATTATTCTAAATAAGACTTCCTAAAAGCCGAAATCTTTTGTTTTTAAAACTCATTTGTTATGTGTGACCAAATGAGTGGTGACTTTATCGCATCAGACATGTGACACTTTGCTCACAGCTGATTGGTCCAAGTTGGGTTGGCAGTTCTGGAGGGTCACCTGACCCGGGCCAGGGTAGCCGTGGAGCGTCAGTTACTATGGCGATGAACACCGCTAAAAGCCAAACCACTTTCATGTTTCCTAAAACCCAGGATTGGCACAAACTAAACTGAAACACATCGGGCTGTCCACCTAACCTTCATGGACCCAAGTGTGTTTAAACCCGTCAAACTGGTGCCGGAAGAGCCTGGACTCTCCATATCCTCACAGAAGCTGCACTGAAACAACAACCACAGGTTCGGCTGTGGGGAAAAGATCATATAAAGTGATTTAATAAACAGAGCCAGAGGAATCGGGTCAGGGAACCACACATGATACTGTGACTGAATATAATCAATGAGAAGAGGTCGTGACCCCGTGCAGGAGACGAGAAAGTCCTGGTTTCCTCAACATCAATCGCTCCCTTTGTGCTCCAGCTTTAGAAACGGACATAAGACGCACATCTCGTCCGTCACAGCACACACACACACACATCAGAGATCACACACTACTGTCTTTACATGACAGAAAGAGTCGTACTTTTAGGAGTTCGCAAATGACTATAAACAAATGTTTATTGTTTACATTAAAGAACTAATGAAATTGGCCAGTATGAACATGAAGGATTCAGTGAATAAATCGGCAAACAGAAAGTCTGTGTCGACTTCAAATAAACAACTAAAACTGTCTCTGCACTGAAGAAAGCGTGTTACTTGCTTAGAAGAAACAATGACAACACTGTCAACAACCATCAAAACCAAGACATGATGATGATTCTTTTTTGAAGTGTAACATATATAATCACACATGGTCGAATCTTCTACATCCTCCTCACAGGCCTGAGAACATCTGCTTGATCTCTCAGATCATCAGTCATGGTGAGAAGAAGGATCATTAGATCATGTGATAGTGAATATAGTAAACCTGAGGAACTCACCGAGACTGAAGGTAGAGAGGAAACATGCTGTCGTCTGCGTCGCCTCCACATGAGCAGTGACGGACCGTACAGAGCATCTGATCTCGAGCATGTGCTGCCCGTTACACTAATGCAGTTAGTGACCCGCCGACACACAAAACACACATTCACACAGTCTCGGCCTCCACTGACGGATGTGGAGCGCTGCGAACTATATCCGCTTCACATGGAGGCAGTGTAGAGTACAGTAGAGTAGAGTAGAGTAGAGTACAGTAGAGTAGAGTACAGTACAGTAGAGTAGAGTACAGTACAGTACAGTAGAGTACAGTACAGTAGAGTAGAGTACAGTAGAGTACAGTAGAGTACAGTAGAGTAGAGTACAGTAGAGTAGAGCTGTAGAGTAGAGTACAGTAGAGTACAGTAGAGTAGAGCTGTAGAGTAGAGTACAGTAGAGTAGAGTACAGTAGAGTAGAGCTGTAGAGTAGAGTACAGTAGAGTACAGTAGAGTACAGTAGAGTAGAGCTGTAGTGTAGAGTACAGTAGAGTAGAGTACAGTAGAGTACAGTACAGTAGAGTACAGTAGAGTACAGTAGAGTAGAGCTGTAGAGTAGAGTAGAGTACAGTAGAGTACAGTACAGTAGAGTACAGTAGAGTACAGTAGAGTAGAGCTGTAGAGTAGAGTAGAACATCATGTTTATAAAGAGAAATATCATCATCATCATCATCATCATCATCATCACAATCATCAGTCTCATTGATTTATCCAGATTAATGAACATCTGTCAGTAACCATAGAAACACTCCAGACTTCACGCTGTAAGACTGATTTCAGATAAATAGTACATATATGAATTCAATATTCTCATTCAATACTGTCACATTAAGGATTACTGTGTAATTACTGTGTAAAAGTTTTAAAACATTAATGAAAACAGCTGCACTTATTTTCATTACCAAGTAGCTGGAAAATATTGAAATGCTGAGAATACAAAGACACGATACAAAACTAAATGAAGCTCTGGAAGGAAAGAGCCAGTCATTCATCTCTACACACGTTCAGTTTCCTCAGATCTCGAATCCTCCACACTGAGCTCAGCGTGAACACAACTAAAGTCTGTTCAGAAACAACATCTGAAAAGATATTACACAAAACACAAACTGCTTTCCCCTCTGTTGAACTGTCACTGTTAGCATAAATGACACACAGATGACTAAAGTCGACAGATTTGACTGATGGATCTGTGTAAAATAAAATAATGATGCTGCCATCTTTCTGAAGTCACTTTTATCCTAATGTAATTTGGCTCCAAATCTCCAAAAACCCTCCTCTACAAAACAGCGGATGAGTAAATATTCAGTAAACATTTAAAGTGGAATATATCAATGGTTTAGCGTATTTATTCCATGATTAATAAATTCTGGCTGGATCGTGTTGAGTCAGGAAATGTGCGGATGGCGCCCTCTTATGCATATAATTAACGTTATTCTTTTCTTTAGAAATAGAATTCTTTAATTCATAGCTAATATTATGCACATATTATATATAACCTCACAAACAACATGTAGGCTACTTCATTTTTGTAATCTGATGACATTGGCTAATCTAGATAATGTGATATCAGTTCCTCAGTAATCCACTGCGAACTCTAGTGCACTTCTCTCGCACCCTACAGACTGGCGCCCTCATCAGGTCACGGAGAACATAACTCATGACTCATAATAACTAATTTCCTCCAGCACAATATGTATTGTTGCCATACGGAGATTATTGAGTTGTCCGTCACAGTCTCTCTGGCTGGTTTTCTGTAAAGCCGATTTGAAAGAATGAAAGCGTCGCATAAACATGAACTGGTGTTGGGTTGATTCTGTTGTTGTGAGAGGGAGAGGGAGAGGGAGAGAGAGAGAGAGAGAGAGAGAGAGAGAGAGAGAGAGAGAGAGAGAGAGGGAGAGAGAGAGGGAGAGGGAGAGGGAGAGGGAGAGGGAGAGAGAGAGAGAGAGAGAGAGAGAGAGAGAGGAGAGGGAGAGGAGAGGGAGAGAGAGGGAGAGGGAGAGGAGAGAGAGAG